ATCCACGCCGGGGTTGATACAGTCGTACAAATGAGAGTAATTCAACCGCGTCGCCTAGCTCACAGACACACACACCTACTAGTCGCCTGACGGCTCAGGCCCCTCCTCGGCGAACAGCTCATGCACCTGGGCCTTCGCCAATGCTTCGGCGGGGGATAGGGCCGCACGGGGGCGCTTGTGTGCCGTCTTGCGCCTGGTGGTACTCCATCGTGAGCGACCGCAGTAGGGGGTCAGTGCTCAACTTGAACCGGCGTACCTTATCTTTGTGCACGGTGAGTCCTGCATGAGGAGACTCAGCATCCTCCGTCGCTTGCGCTCGAGGGGGACCGGGCCAGGTTTTGGCAGCGGGCGACATGCGACGGCCGCCCGAACAGCACCTCATACGGGCTGACGCCCAGGCTGACATGCGGCGTGGAGTGTTATCGACAGGTAGAGCGAAGTGGTACAAACCAGGGACAGGAAAATGGGTAAAATCCGGTAGAAGACTAATGATAGTAGCCCTTAGGTTGCAATGTAGGTAGGGGGAGGAGCAGTAGTAAGTAGGAATAGGCTGGGGGGAAGGTTGTAAGGTCATACAGTAACGGAAGGAGAACAGAGTAGGGGTAGAGTCTGATAGCACAGAACTTCGTGGGTTGGGAGGATGACATTGTGATCAGCACCAACTTCATTGGGCTGCAGAGGCAATCTTCTCTTTTGTGCGCTGTAGTCTAGGTGGCTAGGATATACGACTTTCACCCGTAGGACCCGGGTTCGAGTCCCGGCAGTGGATGTTCCGGGCACACCCACGGAACAACGGCAGGAGCGGGGCATTCTAATCGGTTGTTGGTGTTTGTGCGGGTCGGATCGGCGCTGTCGGACCAGGTTTTGGCAGCTGTCGGACGGACGACCAGGCTGTCGGACCGACCATTTGTACGGCTTCGGTGGGTACTTGGCAATGACGTTCTCGAATTTGTACCATTTCCGGCGTGGATGTGGCGGTGTGGGTACTCCGCGCGCGCACATTCACTGCCGGGACTCGAACCCGGACAGCACGGGTGAGAGCCGTCTGAGAGGCCGTTGGGGCCGGGAGTAACGGAGAAACGGGTTCACGGCGGCAAGCGTCCTTCCCGACAGCTCTTGATCTGTAGGTGGCTGAGTTGTTTGACCCAGAGCCGACCGAGGAGGGGCAGCTGTGGGACCAGCATGCTATCTCGAGCTTGATGGCGTTGGGTGGGTGTTGTTCGCAAAATTAAGAGATGCAAAAATAGTTTTGATGGATGAAAGGTTGATCAATAGATGGCAAAAATTTGTGGTTCGATTAATTCGGAACGGCGGCTGCGGGCCCGGCCCAGATTTAAAGCCGCCGCCGACCGTAGGGGAGGGGAGTTAGAGGGACTTTTTTATCGGGATACAGTAGTTCGCTGGAAATCACGATTCGTAGGTGTCGGGTGTACCTACCCGCGTCCGGTCCTGTGGACTT